AAAAAAAATAATGCAATTGGTGATTTCAAAATTTTTTCTGATATGACTAAAAAGTAATATGATTATTATTTATTTTCTACACTTTTTAATCAATGTTAATTCTAAAACACAATGAGGTTATAATCAATTTTTCCCTTTTTTACTCATAAATGTTTTTTTAGAGAGAAACATTAAATATGAGCATGACTAACTTGTAAAATAATTAATATATTATTTCACTAAAATATTTATACTCATATAAATTTGATTTTAATATATATACACACAGATATATATATATATATATATATATATGTGTGTGTGTGTGTGTGTGTGTTTGTGTATGTATGTATTCCTTGATATAAGAGAATAACAATTTATTTATTCTTGTTCACCAAATAATACTTGATTATTATTTTATCATAAACTTTGTTGACATATAACTTCATTATTATTTATAAAAGTTATAGAAGTTGTATATCTTTTTTTTATTTTATGTAATGAAAAATATATAATGCACGTTAGTATTATTTATTTATGTAATCAATTTAAAATATGTGAATAAATTTTAAATTAAATAGTGTATAAATATTTTACAAAATATACACACATGCTTTTTAAAATTTTTTGTATACTAATTAAACAACTTTGATTCAACAAAATGCTAAAAATTCACTCCCTTCTGTAATCAAGATTTTTCTAATTTACATTATAAGGATTTATAGTTTATTCAGCATTATCTGCAATGAAAATATATTTTACAAGAATTTCATTATAAAAAGAAACCAAAATAAAATAATGTTAAAAAAATAATCATGGTTGTCAATAATATACAAATAAATTCTAAAACACAGTTAATAATTTGAAGAATAATTTATTTTTTATATATAAAAAATTAAAGTTTAAGAAAAAAATATATTGAAAAAGAAAAATTCACCAACTTGATTTTGTCTGATTAATTGGAAGAAAAAATTCTACCTAGCCTGTTACGATTTTTTATAAATTTTTAACAAAAACTGAATATTTGTGAGAAAAAATAATATTATTGTTAGAACTTAAAATATGTTGTTATATTTATCATGACTAAAATATTATCAACATGAATCACATAGAATCAATCTTGTAATTTATTATAATGGATACCAATAAAATTATGCAGATATTAATAAAATTATTTAAGGAAACGATATTTTTTATCATATCTGATTTGATCTTATATGAAAATAGGTATATGGAAGCAATTAATACATATATTTAAAAAGTTACCAAAAAAAAAGTATGCATTAAATGCTTCCAAAATTTTAACTAATATGTATCTATTAATATATAGTAAGGATTGACATAATTCACTTTTAAAAATACTTTCCTGCCAATTACATTAATTATTGCCTAAAAATAGTAAATTAACAAAATCTATATTTATTAGCATATCTATTTAAACCGCTGTTTTTTTAGGAATACAATAAAAAATATGGAATCAAAATCCAAATAAATCTAAGAAATACACTTACCATACTTAATACACTTAATTTAAGAAATACACTTGCCATACGTGTTTTTAAATTTTTTTAAAATACAATATAAAATGTTAAATTAATAATTATCAATTAAAGAATCTTTTTAAGAATCAATCATACTTCTAATAATTGTTAGAAATAATATATATATATATATATATATATATTAGTATTTACGTGAATGTAACATATAAGTTAACATATATGTTAACACATATGTTAATCATATGTAATAAGGATTAACATAAATCAAATTTAGAAACAATTTCTCGCCTTTTATTAATTATCTCCTAAAAATAGTAAATCAGCTTTTTCCTTTTTTTAGGAATAACATCAAATACTTTTATATTGGTAACCAATAAGGAATAAAAATCCAAATAAATCTCCTATTTTTTCCAAACAATTTGGAAATCCGAATATAAATCTGAATAAATAATGATTTTAGAAATCGTGATTTCCAAACAATTTGGAAATCTGAATAAATTTCCAAGGAAATCATGATTTGTATATATCATGATTTTAAAAATCTGTTCAAATTTTTCTTTGCATGAATCTGAATCATAATTCATTCAGCCTATTATTATATTATAAATTGTTTGAAACCGCATGCTCAGATTTGTATATATCAGATTTATAAAATCATGATTTGTATATATCATCTTTTCACCAATTAGACTTTTTTTCTTAATTATCGATTTGAAAAGGAAAACAAATTTTATATACCTTATCGGTTTAGATAATACAGTGTTATAATCATTATCATTATTTATTTTAAAAGATAGTGTTTGTCATTTATTTGATTTCAAAAGATGAAAAAAATTTCATAGTTTAGGTCTCTTTTTATTTATGCATTTACACAAATTAATTTAAAAACTCTAATAATGATTTGCAACAAAATTTGTTATATATTGATTCAAACCAACTAATTAATAAAAGAGTCCATCAATCACGAATTAAAAAATAACACACGATCACTACATTTCAAAGATTAAGTTTTTTAGATAAATATTCATTTATATTGTCATGACGATAAACAAGAGTGAGTGTCAATCTTAGAAATCCACCGTTGGAAATTCAACTGCTATATTTCCAATGGTTTTTTTACCGTTGGAATTTTTATTTCCACCCCGTTGAAAAATCCACCGTTGGAATCGTCGAAATCCAACGGAAATTCAATGGAAAATTAATTCTAATTTCCAACGGAATATTTTGTTGGAATTTCCGTTGGAATCCATTGAAAATTTCAAACGGAAATAATAGTATTGAAATATCCGTTGGAATTGTCGTTAGAATAATTTCTTTTGGAATATATTTCCATTGGAATTTTATCATTTTATTGTAGTGTGCCCAATAATCAAATTAATAATGTTGTTTACAATTAGGTTTTTAATAACATATGATTTTTTCATACGCGAACATTTTATGAGCATTTTCTGCCCCAAAACATTGATAACCTACTATAGATAGAAATGATATAATATGATCTAAAGAGAAAATAAATCATTAATTGCATAATTTTCATATAACTCGATTTTCTGTTTGTGCTTGTTTTAGTAAATTCTTGATTTTCTTTAATTACGTTGATAGTGGTTTTGTAGACAAAGATTATGTAAATAATCATATGTAGCCGATTTTGGAACTCTTATTTATCAAGGACTCTTTTTTTATTTAATAGATTTATTAGAATCATTGATTTAGATTAGCATATATGTTACATACACTCAGAAAAAAACAGTTTTACAGTAATATTTAAATTTATATGGCGTCAATTTTGGAATTCTAGCTCATTTGTGAGGATTCTTTTTTATTTTATCATATTTATTAGAACCAACAATTACAAAATATAAATTTATAATATCTAAATATATTTATATTAATATTTTAATATATTTTTCATTGTAGCAGATTTTGAGAATGAACAATTTTATATGAGATATATACAAATCTTTTTTTTAGATATACACCAATTCTCTTTATTGGTATTCTTTTTGTCAATTGTTTTTTAAAGGAAAATTTTCAAAATTTTGTATAGTAAATTGATTTTTTGTTTTTGTATCACAAAATATAAATTTATTGAAATATATATATATATATATATATATATATATATATATATATATTTACTACCTAAAAAGTTATCACACATATAATAGGAAAGTTTTCCAATTAAAAATTGTTCAGTTTGAAAATATATAACAAGTTCTCACACATTCAATTAAAAATTGTTTGGCTTGAAAAAATTAGCGTGAAGTAATTTATAATCACTAATATTTTATATTTTATATCTACTATACATAATCTCTCTCATAAAATTAGTGTGATGTAATATTTAATGTTTTATATTATTCATACATATTTTTGTAGATATAATTACTAATATTTTTTAGACTTTAATACATATTATTCACATGTATTATTTTGTATATTTTAACATGTTGTGTATATATGTGTGGGTGTTGAACTTTTTTTAGACATGTTTTACTTATAAAATAATTTAGAAAGGGGATCTTACATTTTTTAAAAATAATATAGTATAATTTAGCTAATCTTACACACGCTGTATAACAATTTAGTGTTTTTAATATCTTAAACATACATGTTTATTGTTCTTTTAAAAAAAATAAAAAATAATAAAAATATTAGTGAATATTATTTAGCTAATAAAGTATAATCGATATTAAAATGATAAACTAACAACTCATTTGTCCAACTGCTATATAAATTATCATATTATAAATAGATCCATCTTAGACTTTCATTTAAGTTCCAGCGGTGATATAGAATATTATACTGGACCCGGTTTAATAGATAAAGCGGATACATATTGGAGGATAAGCCCACTAAGACATCTAAGCCCAACGATAGGGGTCAAGCCCAACTTGGGCCCAAAAGGTACACTCCCCCTATAAAAGGGGGCAAGGTACCTCACTCTCTCATTCTCTCCTCATTGATTTACTACACTCTTTCTCTCTCTTGATCTGAGCACTGACTTAAGCATCGGAGGCCCGACGCCGGGGCCACCCCCGGCATTGGGTTCTGCAGGTGCGGAAGCCGTTCGAGTGGAAGGAGCTGAGTGAAACTTATTCACTTCAAGCGGCACCAATTCCTTCTGATTTTGGGGTTCCATTTAACAATCATGGTCAGTCTTTTTGTATAAAAAATATAGAAATATTAGTGAATATTATATAGCTAATCAAGTATAATCGATATTAAACTAACAACTCATTGTCTGACTGTCTAAGTAAATTATTATATTATAAAAATATCCATCTTAGGATTTCATTTAAGTTATAGAGCATCCGTTACTTCTAATCTTAGGGTTTCATTTAAGATCAGAGTCAGTCTTTATGTGCGTTGGCATATTATTAAAAAAATCGGTTCTCAGTAACGACTGATTATATGTTGTTGTTTTTATGTGTAAGTAATAGATAAGAGATGTGCATTGACATATTTTTAAAAAAATCTATTTGTGATCACGACCAAGTTAAGGTCAACATTTATTGTACGTTGCCATGTTAAATAATAGATCAAGAAGAGTCAAGGTCAACATTTATTGTACGTTGGTATGCTTTTAAAGAAATTGATTTTTAGTCACAAACAATTATGTTGTTTGTTCCGCGTGTAAGTAATATAAAAGTGTTGAAAATATTAGTTTGTGGGGACGATGAGTTGCTCAGTTATTGAACAAATAATGTTATGTACAAGAAAGTTTAAATAATATATTTTTTTGCATGAGAATCTGTTTGTGGTTTGACAATTTTTCTACGAATTATCACTCTTTTATTTATTAATACATTTTAATTTTTAATATTCCCCAAAGTAAATACAGCCCGTGCATCGCTAGGGTTACATACTAGTTTTTAGTAAATTATTATTATTATTATTATTATTATTATTATTATTATTATTGTTATTATTTTTATTATTGTTATTATATATATTATATATAATTAATGATACTCAGTTATATAATTACACATTATTGCAAATCTATATTTTAGATATATATAATTGATAGCAAAACAATTAATAAAAATGAATTCCACCCTTTGCATTTGCACAGATGTAACTAAAGTATTATAAATTACTTGCATGCATATAATTTTAAAATTATAAATTAATTATATTTCAAAATAGAGCATTATAAGTTATATTTTATGCATAAAAAAAAAGTCAAATAAGTAATTATCGGATCGTCTCTCCAGCTCTCTCGAAAAGAACCAACTCTCTTGATAGTCTCTCCAGCTCTTGCGGACTCCCTATTTTAGCCGTTGCCTTCCCCAGTAGGGCGCGGCGAGTGCTCGGTGGTGGCTCCCCTGAGCCTCGCAGCCCTGTTCCGAGAGAAG